AGTGTCCTGATTTGGCTTGCTGCCTTCAAGGCTGCCTGAGAAATTTCAAGATGTTTCCATTGCACCTTATGATGTAACTCAAGATTTAGTTTTTGGCCTCCTTTTCCCCCCTTATTTTTTGCCTCTCTCACATCTCCTCAAGCCAGTTCGGTGTTTCTCCTACTGAGAACCAGCCCAAGGCTGACCCATTTTGAAAGGCACTCCCATTTTAAGCTGTTCCAGTTGATTCCTCCCCCTTCTTTGATTCTGCACCCAGCAATCCTTGCTATGCAGATCCATGAGCACGTATAGCAGAACTATAGGTAGTGGTGGGGGTGTCCACTTGTTCAGGTGCCCCCTCTGGTCCCCAGAGTGGAGGTGGGCATACAGAGGAAAATAAAAGAAAGAAAGAAGCAATGTTCACACCTTTATCTCTCACAATCAGTCAGCCCTCTGTGATGGGAGTGGTCTCTGTAGTTCAGAGTGGGATTATCTGGTGTTGGCTAGTGATTGTTGTTGTTGTTATGTGCCGTGAAGTCAGTGGAGTCAGTTGCAACTCATAGTGACCCTGTGCAGGGTTTCCGAGGCTGTAAATCTATACGGGAGCAGAAAACCTAATCTTTCTCCTGCAGAACAGCTAGTAGTTTCGAACTGCTGACCTTGCGGTTTGCAGCCCAATTCGTAACCACTGCACTACCAGAGCTGATGATTATCACTGACATGTTATCATGTTGTTCAGTTGTCACAGGAGGCAGTACAGACGTGGTAGGGCAACATGGACACAATGGCTGTCTCCACAGAACAAACAATAGCAATAAAAACTCTATTGAGGTGAAGTTCATGTACCTCTACATTCAGGGGATTGGATGCCTAGTGCAGGACCCCAGGAAGAGCAGAGCTCATATAGGATGGGGTGCCACTGGTCTCTGGGTGGGTAAGGGTGGGGATTGGCCATGACCCTGGCTACCAAAAGAGTGGGGGGACAAGAGAGAACCTCATCCCCTTCCCACCAACCCAACATTCAGTACATATGTCCTGTGCCTTCAGACCGCTGTATGGACAGCCACCTGCAAAAGGTCACAATGGCTGTGTAGTGCCAGGCCAGCGACAGCCTGCCCATTGCTCTCCTCTCTTGCTGCTCTTGTTCAGTTTCTCTCCAAGTTGACACTCAGTCCACCTTTCTGTCCTGTCCTCTGAAGTTCAGGGCTCGTCTCTTTTCACTTGGTTTCTCGTGTCCTTGTTGCAGAAGATCTGCTCAGTACATCTGTCTGCCCTGGACACCCAAACTAAATCTAGAGTTTATTTTTTAGTGTATTAATATGCCACTCGCTCTCCTCTTTCTGTCCTCCACTGGCCTCTTCTCTTTTTCCATCTCCCTTCTCAATCCTCAGTTATTCCCTTTCCCCTCCCCTGAGTGTCTCCCTCTTTGTCCCTCCTACATCTTCATCCTCCTGTCTTGGTATTGTTGTTTTCTGCCACAGAATCAGCCCCTGAATCATGGTGAGCCCATGCACAATGGAGTGAAACACTGCCCAGTCCTGTGCCATCCCCATGATCCATTGCAGATCACGCTGTTTTGATCCAATGGTTTTCATTGGCTGACTTTCAGAAGTAGATGGTCAGGCTTTTCCTCCTAGTCTGTCTTAGTCTGGAGCCCATTCAGCATCACAGCAACTTGCCAGCCTCCACTGACAGCTGGGTGGTGGCTGCACTTGAGCTGCATTGCCAGGAACCCAACCCAAGGAAGGGGAAACTTCTACCACTGAACACGGCTTCTTGTTCTGTGTCTTAATCTCCCTCACTGACCCTTAATCTCTGCTCTTCAGTGTCCTTTCTCTGCACATCTAGTTCCTCTTCTCTCCTTCTGTTCTTTGGCATTACCATTTCTTCCTCATTAGATGCCCCCTGACCCTCTGTCTCCTCCTCTCCAAACCCCCTCCAGTCTCCTCTCATTTCTGCCCTTCATTCTTTTTGTTCCCTCTCATTCTTTCTGCCTCAGTTTTACCTCCTAGGTCTCCTTGTTGGAACAGTGAGTTGAGGGTATAAAACAGAGAAGTGAGCCTCTAGGCCATGGGGCAAGTAAAGCTGAATGCCTCTAGGCAGGAGGTTTGCTGGCGGGCAGGGATGGCTAATCAGTCCACTTCTTAGGTTTTCATACACCTTATTTACTATTTACACAGTCCCGCCCAGTTTTTAAGGAACTCTGGTAGCGTAGTGGTTACAAATTAGGCTGCTAATCTCAAGGTGGGCAGTTTGAAACTACCAACTGTTCCATGGGAGAAAGAGGAGGCTTTCTGCTCCCATAAAGATTCACAGCCTCAGAAACCCTATACAGGGTTTCCATGAGTCGGAAGTGACTCCATAGCACACCACCACCACCACCACTACCACCCAGTTTGGTGAGAGTTGCAAAGGTGAGATTTCCTGCTCCTGTAAAGATTGACAGCCTCAGAAACGCTATACAGTGTAGCTCTGAGTCACAACCAACTCCACGGCACCCAGCTATCACCAACAACCACCCAGTCCTAGTGTGGAACTGTAGGGTCAACATCAGACTGCTAAACACAAGGTCAGCCGTTCAAACCCACCAGCTACTTAACAAACAACAACAGCCCAGTAATTTGGTGAGTATTACAAAGATATTAATTTTTTACAATCATAACTTATTGCCTCCAAGCACTTAATCGGTGGAGCTAGGTTTGCCGACCCATGAAGCTAGAGCCAAGTGCATTCAGTCGGAGGCTGTGGCACAGAGGAGGGCCCTTTGGGCATTTATCAGCAGCACTAAAGGAACTTTGTAACATTGTTCAAGCAGGGCAGAGGCCAAGGGGTCACATGGCTTACAAGACCTAGGACCAGAGAGAGGCCTGCCTTTAGTACAGTTGAAAAACGGTGCTTGTGCCCAAAGGAACTGGATCTTGAGCACTTCAGACCCTAAATTGTAACCTGTTAACTTCCCTAATAAACCCCCTAATAGTGGGAAGGATGTTTGGTGTCACAATTGGTAAAGGAGGTTGAGGATGGAGGCATGTCTGACTTCTGCCTCATAGGAATTGGCCTTGCGCTGAAGCAGAGTTTGATCCTTCTCCCCCCTGGTGAAGTCAGAAGAGGTCAGGTGCCACTCCCACACCATTTTTACAACTGCTTTTCTCAATAATGTTCGTCATTATAAGAAATGGGCACTTAGCAATTCACATGGAGTGATCTTTTTAAATGTTCTTGGATCCAGAGGGATCCTGAGATGAAACTCTCTCATAGATCTTCTGACCTAGAAACAGACCAGGTTTAGATTCTAACACCAGGATAGATGTCTCCTAAACTCTCCCCCAGTTTTGACCAAGAACTTTTGGGAAATGTCTAAAGACATTTACAAATGTGATCAGAAATGTAAGCGAAATCTTGTATCAAATCTTGTAACAGATACATTTGAATATATTTTGTCAGTTCAAGAGACTCCAAAAAATAGAAATAAATAAATCACTTAATGGTATAGTTTCCAACATTGTATTTCGCTTGGTAAGAACATCTCATTTTAACAGATCATGCAAACAAGGGACATAAGATACAAAATACCAGTGTGTACAGGCACGCCTGTTTGCTCCACATATACAGTTTAGCATCAAGTTTTAAGATCTAAATCACAACCAGACTGCAACATAAACACCAAGTAAAACTGTATGTTGTCATGCTTTTATTAGTTTTTACATAGGAACAGTGACTGTAAAAGAACACAGCAACTTTTAGTAGGCACAACACAACTCACAGGTCAGAAGTAGCCCCTTTTCTGCGGTCACAAATTTATTCTATGTCAGCTGTTATTCTTCCCAACAGTTTGTTTGTTTGTTTTGAGAATTGTCACCACTCTTGGGAATAATTGTATGTACTCAGGAAAACAAATCTTTGCCTTTTGGGAAAAAATGTGGTCCTTCCTAGGGTTTTTATCCTAGTTCCTTTGTATAACTGGCTATGTGACCTTGAGCAAATTACTTAACCTTGCTGCCCGTGGAATTTCCAGAGCCTGTGACAATCCCCTCCTGCTGTGGTACCTAAAGGACATAAACAGGGTACCACTTCAATCAGTTGTCACTGAGTCTACGCCAGCTCATGGTGACCCACGTGTGTCAGAATAGAACTGTTTTCTGTAGGGTTTTCAGTGACTGATTTGGGGGAAGGAGATTGCCAGGTCCTTCTTCCAAGGCATCCATGGGTAGATTCAAACTGCCAACCATTTGATTACTAGCCAAATGCATTAAGTATTTGCACCACCCAGGCACTTCAAATCTGCTAAAGTCCTCAAGAAATAAGGCTTTCTTTCTTGTTGTTTTGATTGTACAACTATTTCTCTCTCTCCTTTATTTATTTTTTTGAGGGCAGCTTTTATCATTATATTTTTAAGAGTCAAATGGGATTTGGGATGAAAATGATGGATGTTTAAGCTGCTTAATTTCCTACTCTCAAATATGTGTGAGTGAGAAATAACAAGGCAGAATTTCCATGGTGGTTGAAACACTGGTTCTGGAGAAAGCTGTGAAAGTGACTCTGAAGAGAGATGTTCTCAGAAGTGGCAGCCACAGAGAAATAGCTGTCCTGCCTCTCAAAGGCATCGGCATCGATTTGCATGTGCCAGTCTCTGTACAGTTACCCAGCTCTCCATTCCAGGAAAGCTCCAGAGTTCTGGTTAATGCTCCAGTGAAACTCTACCCACATGTCCATTTAGTTGCTAATTAATTTGAGTCAGAAAGCTTGAATTACAAGTATAATCTGAGGCTCCCATATTTCCTGAGGAGCAGGAGAGTTCTGTCCAGGTCTGATTCTCTTGGTAATAGTCTGCTTTCTACTCAGAGTATCATCTATCTGCTGACCATTACTATCACCATCAGCTGTTCTTCCAATGATGCATAAGAACTTTCCGAATGACCTAGCCCCTAAGACTCTAGAAAGCCCAGGTGCCCAGCAACACACAAGCCTTCATCCTCCTTTGCCTTGTGAGACACCATCAGCATCACTTTGTTGCAACCCTTTTAGGAGCGAATGTGTAGAATCTTCTTGAAAGTCTTCTTGAAGTTTTCATTGCACAAGGGATAGATGAGGGGGTTCAGTGTGGAATTGATGTAGCCCAGCCAGATGGTGAACATGTGTACTTGTTCATTACAGCATTTCTCGCAAAAGGCAATGACCATGAAGAAGATGAAGTAGGGAATCCAGCAAAGGATGAACGCTGCCATGATACAACCCAATTGTTTGGCTGCCTTCCATTCACGGTTCATGTGCAACCCAGACACATACTGTCTTGAATGTGAGCGAAGCCTCTTCCACGTGAGCTTGATATAGTCTAGGCCTGTGGCAGACCCACTTCTCGATTTGTTTTTCCCTGATGCTGGCTCAGTGGGAGTGTCTGAGTCTGTCCGGGAAAAGGACTGGCTATCACCTATGGTCTGGTCCTCTGATATCTCAGTGGCCGCAGGTATGTTCAGGTCCTGCATATCTGTCTCAAGCTGGCTCTCATTGGTGGCGACATATTCACTGCTATTTTCCTCCACCATGGTTTGCATCTGTACCATGTTAGGTGCAGAGCAGTGGAGTCTGGCCATTTCTCCATCCTCTTCTTGGCTGAAGACAACTGGAGATTTCATTTCCTCTGGGTCTTGGGATGGTGGCTTTGAAACAGGTCCATCACTGGCATCTTTCGGCTTTCTTCTCAGAATCTCCCAGGGAGATTCCTTCCCTGGTTTCTTGGAACCCATCTTGGGATTCTCTTGCCTCAGACTAATTTCTAAGAAGGATGGCACAGCTCCATTGGTGAGTTCCCGGTGCTGACAATGTTGGCGCACAGCCTTGTAGATCTTTGCATAAAACCAGAGCATGAGCAAGGTGGGCAGGTAGAAGTTGATGATGGCGGTCATGATCTTGAACCAGGTGACATCATAGAAGTCTGTCTCACACTTTTCCTCCAGATACTTTGAGACCCCTGGCACAAAGTGATGCCAACCTAGAATGGGGATGATCCACAGAAAGGAGAGAAACCAGGCACCCAGAATGGTGGCCAGTGCTCGGGTCTTGGTACGATACCTTAGGTACCTGAGGGGTTGCTGAACAGAGCGGTAGCGGTCGATGCACAAGATGAAAACACTGAAAATGGATGCTGTGCTGGCCACATAGTCCATGGACAGCCAAAAGAGGCAGAGAGGCCGGCCCAGGGGCCACTTGGTCATGAGGAGGTAGAGGATGTTCATAGGCATGACGACAGCTCCCACGATCAGGTCAGCCACTGAGAGGCTGACAATGTACAGGTTTCCCACGGTGTGCAGCTTCCGCTCACACCAGACAGCATACAGGACCAGCAGGTTGAGCCCCACCGTGACTAGGGAGATGGTGCTCAGGACCACCACCAGGGGCATCAGTTGGGAATTGGTCATGGTGGTCTTGTTCTGGCACATTTTGTCTTCTAAGGTGCGGGAGGAGTTGGGAAGAAGGGTCATCAGCACAAGAGCAGCCTCCAAATATGCCTCACTACCTGGGAAGAAAGACACAAAGACAGGGATTTGATGATCAGCGGTATTTATCACACAGGTTGTAGTATGCTGTATGTGAGGTGCGGGACACACTGCTAGATGGCCACATAACCCCTTTGCCTTGTTTATTCATTCATTCATTCAGTAACAATTGGATTCCTGACATTGTTCTAGGTGTTGTGACTACAGCAAAGAACAAAACAAACAAAAATCTCTGTCCTCATGGAGCTTACATTCAAGTGAGGGACCTGGTTAAAAAACAAGACAAATAATTTATACGGTCTCATTTTTCACATGTTCTGGGAAGGTGGGATGCATCATGATCAGTTTAAGCTAACACTAGCTCCTCGTTGCCAGGCACTGGTCTAGCAGTAGAAGTCTGATGACACAGGGGTTACACACTTGGCTGTCAATTTGACCCCACCACTGCTCTGCAGGAGAAAGCTGTGATACTCTGCTTTCATAAAAATTTACAGCCTTGGAAACCCTACTGGGCAGTTCTCTTCTTTCCTATAGGGCCACGCTGAGTCAGAATGGTTTGGTTTGGTCTAGGAGTGGGCATAAGACACAACTGTAGCCAATGGAAGAGTATGATGATGGAGTTGGGCTCTTGGAACGTTCCTCCTCTCTAATAAATGTTCAAAACCAGGAAAAGTGTCATTTCCCAATTGCCCCCTTCTGCCTGCTGGGAAGCGAGAAGCTCCATGGCTCTGGGTTAGTGACAGTCATTTGGGGGTCTTGCAGGAAATGGTATCTGGTTAGAGACGTCAACACAGAAGCCTGCTATCCCTGAGCTGCGATACCAAATACCAAATACCAATGCTGCAATGTTCTTCCCCAAGACTTTTTATGGGAAGTAATTAAATGTCTTTGTTGCTTATGTAACTGTTAGGGAAGTTTTTACTTGCAACTGAAAGCATCCTTAACTGGCATGAGGGAGCCAATTCTATAACAAAATCATACTGTGTGTGTGTGTATATATATATACACACACACATACACACATATATATATACATATATATATATATATATATGTGTGTGTATATATATATACACACACACATACACACATATATATATACATATATATATATATATATATGTGTGTGTATATATATATACAAGGAGCTCTGGTAGCGTAGTGGTTACGAATCGGGCTGCGAACCTTAAGGTCAGCGGTTCGAAACTACCAGCCGCTCCACGGGAGAAAGACGAGGCTTTCTACTCCCGTAAGGATTTACACCCTCGGAAACCCTGTACAGGGTCGCTATGGGTCGGAACCGACTTGACGGCACTAAACAACAACAACAACAACATATATATATATATATATACGCACGTGAAGCCTTTAAAAGTTCATGGAAAAATAATGTTATCTGTTAGTTCCATTTTTCCATGAGCTTTTTTTAAAAAAATATTTTATTGTGAATTATGTGATAGTTTACATGTGAGAACATTAGCTTTACATTCATCCTATCGTATATCGTTTCATTGCTATGGTTACAATCCCCTCCATGCATCATCAACGAACCAAAGGGTATATACTACAAGCCTGCCCCCCAGTCATCAGCACACAGCCCCTCTCCCTCTCTGTGTCTAAAGTCCCCAACTGCTCCATCTCTCCACATATTGTCTCTGCCTCCATCTCAGGCATCACTGCTTCTCTGGGTAGGGTCCTGCTCTCTGCTCTTCTCCCTTGATGGTCCCAGAGACCTCCGCTCCTAGGCTGAAAAGTTAATCACTCTCCTCCTTGCTACAAAATGTCTACCTTTACAATTCCAACCTTCACAATCAGTCCTGATAACAATTATTCACTATTGTATCACAAGAGACCTATCCGCATTTCGTTTCATCAGCCCCGCCTAGAAAGATTGGATACTACTCAGTGGCAATTCTACCTTCCTTCACGCCCTCTGAATCTAGGTTCCCTCTTGAAAATTTGTAAGCCAGTCCCTCCCCACCCCCACCTCCATTTTGGGTAGTCAATGTCTAAGTTGCCCATCCCTGTCTACTCTGTGTATGGAGGGGGTGGGGATGATCCTTGCTGTAAGGATTTGTTCCCTCTTTTGAGCTACTGCATCCATGGGTGTAGGTCAAGTTCATCAAATTGTAGCAGATTAATCTTTTTTTCCTCTTCTTTCTTCTTCTGGTTGAGCTCTGATCATCCAGTCATTGAAGCCAGGTCAAGTGGGTATTATCTGCAAGTGTGGGTGTTCTTGTGCATATGCCCTCTCTTCTTATCAGCTGGATGCTTCACTCTCCACTCTCGTGCTCTGTGGCTATGTCACTGACTCTGGGCCCAAGAATCCCCAGGTCTTGCCACACTGCTGGCCAACCAGGTCTCCACCCGGGTTCACAGAAGTCTATTGAATATTGTAGGGCTTAGCTTGCATCTTCATTGCTGTTTTTCCCTCACTTCCCCTTATCAGTGATGAGCGTGGTCACCAATCAGCACGTGTATTCCCATTGAGTCTTAGTCTTTTTCCATGAGCTTTTGAAGTCCCCCCCCCACACACACACACCTCATTGGTTCTGCTTCTCCAGACAACCCTAAGACTAAGTATGTATCAGTGCAGGAAGCCGGAAGCACTTCTCTGAAGCCTCACAGAATGATCCAGTCACAAGATTGCGTCTTGTTCATCCACGGAGGCGTCTCATTTCTAGTGTTCCTTATGGTCTGCCTCATCAGCCGTACCTTGGAAACATTTTACAAGGTCGCTATGGGTCAGCACCAACTCGAAAGCATGTAACAGCAACAACATTCTATTGTTAGATGGGAAGTCTACTGATACTTGTAATCTATAGTAAAATGCATCAAGAAAAGTTGGTTGATGATTGGTTAAAAGAAGACATAAATGAATAGATATATGATAAAGAAAAATTGAAAACAATTTATAATCTGAGTGGTAAGTAAATGGGTATTAACTGTATAATTCTTCCAACTTTTACATTTCACTGATACTTTTCATAATAAAATATCGGGGAAATTAAGGCAGCACATGTTTCCCTTCATCACCTATTATAGTATGCTCAATTCTTTATCACCTTTTCTCCTATGTAGCTTGGGTGTATTGTTTTGCTTAAAGAGAGAAGCAAAAGATCACTCAATATTTGCTAAGTGATTTGCATAAACGTGTGAGGTTCAGGATGCTATAAAATATCTCAGTTCAGAAATTTTCCCTTCAATAAATATTTACAGTGAAAAGTTCCTGCTCAGCTCAGTGATTTGTTTCAGGAATAAGAAAATCCATTCTGGGCTGTAAATTGATTCTGGGGGTGAGTTCAGTTCCAGGTTTGAAGGGTGTCTAAGGGCCACAGTCTCAGGGCTTCCAGGCCTATTAAGGGAGTGATAACACCAGCTTACTACTCAATATAACCAACCACAGGAGGCCAAAAGGGCAGCATTTGCCCAAAACACAGCTCAGAAGGCAGGAAGGGACAGGAAAGAAGGACGAATGGAACTGGTAAACACAAGGAGGAAAGAGAAAGCATGTTGTCACATCAGGGGATTACAAACAATTCATACACATTCAGGAAACAGGATGTGCATGAATTGTTGAATGGAAAACTAATTTGCTCTGTAAACTTTCACCCAAACTACAATAAAACAGAGAGAGAGAATTCACTTTTGTCCTCAGATTCCACAGGAGAAAAATTTCTGCAAAGGAAGAAAAATTTCTGGAAAGGGAACTGCAGCCCCCAAACTTCACACAGCCATTGACACTGGCCTCTGCTTCTGGTGCCTCAGGAGTTTCAGAGACAGAGCCTCAAGAAAGCGTGGGACCCAGGAGAGAACATGAGGGTAGGGGAGAGGCAGTGTGCAAATGGATGGCCAATAGAAACCAGTCATATTCCAGACTGATGGCCCAATTTATGGGGTCCAGTAAAAAACAAAAATGTCAAACTTATGAATTTCAAGATGGTGGCCTTAAAGCATGGGACTGTGAAGTTGGCCTTCACCTCACTTCCTGTTGTGTAATCCCTCCACAGGCTCTAACTAGTGCTGTCAAACTGATTCTAACTCAAGATGACCCCTTATGTGCAGAGTGGAACTGTGCTCTCCAGAGATCTCAGTGCCTGGTTTTTCTGAGGTCAACCAAGCCTTTTTCTGAGGTGCCTCTGGATGGATTAGAACCTCCAACCTTTCAGTTAGCATTAACCATTTGCACCACCTAGGAGCTCTGAACAGACTCTAGTCAGCGAATAATGCATTTCCCCTCCCTCAGGGATCTGTGTTCTGAAAAACAGATTTGTGAATGGGTTTCCCTGTGTAAATTGCACAGGAATTTCAATTCCTTTGGCAGTGTCTGAACATGGGCAGCACTACCCAACAATCCAGGTAAGTATAGGCTTATTTGTGTTTAATTACTAATCTGTAGTGAACAATTCCACATGGGTTCTACCACATCAAAGACTTGATGAAAAACAGGTGAAACTGTTTATGACAGATTAGTAAGAACAAGAAAGCCCATGTTTACCTTGTACTGGGTACTTTGTCTCTCAAAAATTTGTAAATTTGAAAAGAGCCTTTAATTCTATAGGAAGGGGCCGTGGAATTGGGAAACAGACAGATGCTGCCTGTGGTGAAAAATGTGAAAGAGTTGGCTACACCTGAGTACACACAAGTAAGCCTGTGCTCACCCCTTCCTTACAGGGCAATCTGAAACTGGACTGTGGCAGGTATCTGGGGACACAATCTTTGGTTGATGCTCCTCTTTTCACCTCATGCCCCACATGAGCCATCTCCTTCTCATCTCTGGATCTGAGAGACTTCTGTGAGCCTCCACAGATGGGACTGGCACAAGGGTGTGCTCTGAGGAAAGGAATGAAAACAAGTGGAGGGAGGTGGGTGGGCAACAATATTGGTAAGGTATGCTCACCATAGAGTGAGTGATCAATCATTCAAAATCAAACGGGCAAACTTTCCTTAAAGACAAAGGTGAGAAGGGATGGGAAGGCGGGCAG